GCTCGTGGTCCCCACTTCCAAATGTGAGTGGGGTGTAAAAGATTAGGTAAAAAATTATGTACATGTAGCATAACCCCTTCATCTTTGCTCCTCAAGATCCACATGGATTACACCATCAAATCCTCTAGTCATAAGCATTTCTGCATTCTTCTTCATTTAGACTATGTTATTTTGTAAGAGCTAAAATTGAACATATCATTGATTGAATTAATATAGTGTTATTGTAAATACAAAAATTAATTATGATATGAAATTGAATGGAGCCATATCGGAATTAAATTTGGATATGACGATTTCACTTACTAAAAACATAGAAATTATGGTTCGATTCGATTCTCTTAAATCAAACAGAACCGGGGCATGTCCAGACTTAAATTTGGTAATTTGGAGGATTAATTGAAGTAAGTAGAATTTTTTAGTTCTGTTTTGAAGGTTAAGCCTTTTCATTAATGCGAATCGCCTCTAGTAAAAGTTGAAAGAAAAAACGAAATACATTCCATCGAATTAGTAACAAAAAAATCAACTGAGAAAAAAATCGTCTTATTGTGAGCATTCATGGGAAATATAGCCGCGTGAGTCACAATGTACATTTACAAGTAAAAATAGAATATCTATCAAAAGTTCCGCATTCGACGCTCGCTAAAAGTTGGATTAAGACAATAACATGTGTGCTAAATCTCTAACTATCGACTCTAGACAATAATATTTCACACCAAATAGAAAAATGATTAACCAAAATTATAGTCAAATGTTCATATTTTGAATGAGATACGTTAGAATCGACTTTTGAGTTTTAGAAAAAAGTAAAGGAAACGCTAAAATTAACTTCAAGTTTTCCTAAGAGAAAAATTTAAGGCGCTGACTGATTGCATTCTAATTCCATGAAAGATGAAAATGAAATTCTATTTTTCACCTTTCTGTATGTTTGATTGTCCAAATTTTCTATGAAATTGGTTTTCCATCTTTTACCCATATGCTCACATTTTCTTGGTTTTTAAACTTTGGTGAGAAAAGTTTTTACAGGCAACTTTTTTTTTAATTTTTATTTTTTTGTAATGGAAACAAATTATATCCCCAATTGTAACAAATTCGATTCATTTAATTGACAATTTCCATGAAAAACAAAATCAAACGAATATCAAAAGATCCAAAATTTCAATATTTTCCGGATGTAAATTTATATCAATCAAACAAAATTAATTGACAATTCTCAATAAAACAAGTTCTAGGCAATTCAATTCATTGAAATTCATTTTCTGTCCACTCAAATTTCATTCTTACAATCAAACGGACCCTAATAGATTTGTAAATATTTCTTGACTTTCAAAAAAAATAACGTTGTAAGAATTCTATAAATGGTTAAATTTATATATAGAAATAAGTATAAGACAAATAAATAGTATTTGTAGATCAATTAAAACGTGCGATTAAAAAAGAAATTTGATCATTTATAAAATAAAGAAAAGAAAAGTTACCCACCATGTTGCATTCTGGCGCATGATCTAATATATCTCCCCGTGTTGTTGTTCAAACTATTTGAGGACACGTAGAACCCTGGACAATACCTAATTGCGTCAATATCTTCTGTGTTTATTTCTTGAATATTTTTCGTTTCTATTTTGTTTAAGCTCGCAAACTATGTTCTTGTCCAGTTATCCTCGAATGATAAAGTACAGATAATTCTTGTTGTACACTTTTGTGTACATCTAATTTGACACTCCCCTCACCTGGGGAATGGAGCCCGTGATTTTTAAAATCGCAGGCCCACCCTCCATGTGTGGGGAGTGTCAAACTAGATGTACACAAAAGTGTACATCTAGCATTGCTCATAAAGTACATATATGTCATTTTCTGTACAATTACATGACAATTTTTTTTCCCATAACAAAACAAGTATATGCCGTTTTGAGCAGAATATACTCCACTGTGTATAACAAAACAATAATATCTTGACAAATTATTGAGCTAAGGATTTTTGGAGATAATAAATATTATTTTTTGTTCTGTTTTTGGGAAGTATAAAAATAATAACAAATTTCATTATCAAGAACCATCTAAATATTCGCACTATTCTATTAATGTACTGAGTAAGGAATTCTTAACTCTATTATTGGCGCAATAGGCCAATTCTTGTTAAAAGATATTCCTCTTCCGTTTCCATCGCTTCTGTAAATATGTCTTCCTACCATCCGTTTCGACTCGTTCTTTACCTAGCGATGAGCTTTCTTGCTCAAGAACTGTTCGTTTGGTATATTTCTCTTTCAACATGACACCCCTTATTGAGCCCCCTTTTTTAGAAAACTAGTGGTTAAAAGGTAGGAAAAATATTTATATTTACATATAAAATTAGTTTAATGGAAGAATGAGTGAGAAAAAAAATGAGTTTTAGGGTGTGTTTGATTGCATATATTTTCCATGGAAAATGTCAGTTTTCTATCCGAATTCCTACTTTGAAATGTTTGTTTGATATTTTTTTCTATGAAAAATATTTTCCAACTTTTAAAAATATGTATAATTTCCCTTGTTTTTAAGGAAAACGTTTTTTGGGGAGGGGGGTGGGTAGATTTTAGTTTTCCTCAAAATAAGGAAAATATTTTATTTTCTAGGATATATCTTCCATATCAATCAAAATAATTGATACCTAGCCTTCAAGTATAGGTTTTTCTTTGAAGGTAAACTGGGGACATCGTCCTGCATGGGCTGTACGTGCAAGCCGTGCTAGACCTTGTAATTTTCTTCGTGAACCAAATTAAGTTAACTCGCTTTACAAATTTTTGTCTAAGCAAAAAAAAGATAACTTCTTACTATTTAACACTGGAATCGTGTTTCACAAAGGCACACCCACCAAGGGAAATTTTGCTAATGAAAAGATGCAGCATCTATTACGGTTTTGAAGAGCATTTGTCTCACTCATGGTGCAGAATTGATGTAAAGATTGTACGTGATAACGTGCAACCAGTCAATTTTTTGTTTCTTTAAGAAACCATGCATCATAAGCACGTCTAGACTAGCAAGACTTGCTATAAGAATTATGACAAAAAAAAAAAAAATGAATCGACATCAATTAGGAATTCGAAACTACGACATAATAAGTATCTAACCATAAATTTGAACATGGATAACGGGACCGTCAGCCAATGGGTCTGAGTAAGGTACCCCCATTCTATTATGTCCGAGCCACATGAATCAAGGACCTTCAACCAGGGACGGATTTAGGTGGGGGGCTGGGTGGGCCTACAGCACCCCCTCCCCCAAAAAAAATTTTATGTAAAAAAAAAAATTTCATGTGTAAATTTTTTTTTTTTTTTAACGTATTAGCCTCCCTGTCGTCCGGTCCTGGATCCGTCCCTACCTTCAACGCTTGACCTGTGGTCGAAAGGTTGGGATAGCCAATTGTAATATACGGGATGACTGCCACCTTTTAAAATAAACATGCTAATTAATATAAATATTGCACTTGAAAATCCCCTGCCCCAACCTCTTGTAGAAGAATTGATCAAAACTTGACTACTTAAATGTAGAAACTTATAAAAAAATTAGCAACCAAACTAGAAATAAAGCACAATGGCATCATTTCTCTCATTTTTTATATTAGAAATTTTTGCCCTTTTATGAGGGCAAAATGATAGAGGCATTCTAATAGAGGAAGGCCTAAAATCCAGTTCCCATCCAAACACTCCATAGAAGAACCAAAAACTAAGTTCTAGACATGAAGTCAAAGCCGCAGTAAACCTTGAAATTCATACTGAAAGATAAACCAGCAAAAAGAAAAAGGAAATATCCAAGAATGCTGCGTACTTTGCCTTCTTGTTTCAACTTGGATTCGGCCCACCGGGCGTGGTGTGGTCTCTCAGCGAGTTAATTATCTTAATAATCACTGAACTTATGTTCATATCTTCGATTGCTCACTGAAATTTAAAATGTCGAGATTTGACCA